CTCTCTCTCTCTCTCTCTCTCTCTCTCTCTCTCTCTCTCTCTCTCTCTCTCTCTCTCTCTCTCTCTCTCTCTCTCTCTCTCTCTCCCCGCCCACAGTGAAAACTCATGACACACGCACCCAGATACCTCTCTCTCTCTCTCTCTCTCTCTCTCTCTCTCTCTCTCTCTCTCTCTCTCTCTCTCTCCGCCCACTGTGAAAATTCATGACACATACGTATACACGCACCCAGATACACACGGAGACGCAGCGACAACATACAGAGTCGCATTCCTCAACAGAAGAAAGGCCAGCACAGTAAGCGTGAGCAGGAGAAAGCAAAATTAAGAACACTGCCAAAAAACGAGTCCAGGTACGCACCTTCTAGAAGCAAAACCCTTAAAACCACTTTGCTCACAAGCCGCCGGGTCACAGCGATCAGTTAAGAACCGCAAGACAAGCGAAGACCACAAAAATTGCATATTCCCCCACAAAACAAAACTCACAGGAGAGCATGGCCCCTGCGCAAGGATGACACGCATAAACCGAGAAATGGTCCAAATTTTTTCTTTCAGATGACAAAAAAAAAAAAAAAAAAAAAAAAACTCCCGGGAGAGCGATTTCGCGGGGAGGAACGGGAGCTCCAAACGCGTATAGAGAAAAAGACACAGAAGGACACAAGCACACCCAGACGACGACCGACCATAATCTCTTCATTTTGGATTTTCCGACGTTAGACAAAGAAAATGAATGCAATACATAGACACCTTTTACAACAGAGTCGAACAAAAGAGCAAAGGCTCGACGACGAGATAAAACACAATCTACTAGCTTCAAAAAAGAGCGCGACTCTGTATCTGTACAAACGCCCTATAATTGTCATTATTCATTTCTCGTCCGTCGAGTTGAATTATCGTTGACGACCTACAGAAAAGAACAGAGCAGTTTACTCCTCGATCCTGCCCCCTCCCTTTCCCCTTCCCTCGCCTCCCTCAACTCGGATTCGACCTACTAGCGTGTCGTAATTACCCTTTCCCCTGTTCCAAACGACCCCCCCCTCTCTCAATCGGCTCTACAAAAAAAATTGACCCCTCCTATTCACCGCGCCGCGTCTCCCCCCCTCTTCTCCTTATCCTGCCCTCAACCCGCGCTCCACGGCCCTTCCCCCTTCCCGACGACTCGTAGCCCCCCATCTTCATCGGAATCGTTGCCATCATCATTCACCAGGCCACGCCGATCAAAACCCTATACCTCAACTCGACTCGGCCACTCATTGGGAGTAAGAGAACCCTATCCATCTGGCAAACAAGCCAACCACCAATTCCTCAGAGCCTCAATATGGCACGAGACCGGGGGACAATTTCAATTCCACTACACATAGACAGGGAGAGAGATTCAAATTGAGTGATAGATAACAGAGCAAGAAGAAGAAGGAGATGCTCCCTGGAAAAAAGGAAAACGACACTGATCGTGTCGTCATCGACGCCGTGGTGCAGCATTTTATCACTCTTGTCTTTCCATGACATCAGCGCCAACACAACAGCCTCCCATCTCCCCATCATCCTTCTTCTTCCACCTCCGTCAGGCTATGGCAAACGCCTTCCACCTCTTACAGCCCATGGCAAAAAGCATCCATCCACATCTTCACACCGGCGCCGAAGCGCCGAAGTACAGCCGCCCATCTTCCCAGAATACTTATGCTTCCACCTCTGACAGGCCATGGCAATAGCCGTCCCCGTCCATCCATCTTCAACCCGTTCGACCGCTCACAGGAGACCTTTCGAGATCCAAATCATCGTCCCAAACAACAACCTCTGGGTCGACTTATCATCACTGCAGACGACCGCGCCACACGAGCCCGATCCCAATCGAGAAGAATCCGTTTCCATCCAAGCAAATGACGAGAAGAAGTCTACATTCCTTTCATTTCTTTCATTCTGCATGAAAAGCGGACGTCGCGTCGGAGCTGAATACGATGCGCAGGAGCGGCGGAGCACAACGCGGAGAGGGAGGGGGACGCGCGAGGTAGGGCTCGGCGAAAGCAGAGAAACGCATCCGCAACATCAGCCTTGTACGGCTTTTTCACATCACTTGTTGACTGATTACTAGGCTGTATGTATGTATGCATTACAGTAATTAGTCCAATCAAGCCATGCCATGATCTCCGCCGACTTTGTCCAATCAAGCCATGATCTTCGCCGACTTTGCAAAGAGGCTATCAACGACTTTGCTCATGTTGGCCAGCGTGTCGAGGGCGGAAGGATAGATCCCATCGGTGGGAGGATCGTCGAAGACGATCAGGCATCCCGCACCTTGGTCGAGGGTTCCAGCAAACTTGTGGTCCAGTATCATCTGGGACAACTTGGACTCCACCGTCTCCACAGGCAAGCCTATCATAGACGCGATGTGCGATATCTCGACCTTGGAGTAGGGTTCAATCAGCCGACAAAGATTCTGCTCAAGCAGAGTTCCGTACAATGCTGCCAAGTGGCGATGAATGATAGGGTCATCAGATAGCTGCTCCTTGAAGTTCTTGAGCGCCTCTTCGAAATCGTGAAGAGACCTCTTGCTGTGCGCAGACGCGACGGCGCGCATCGCGTCCACCTCCACCCCAGTGTACTTCAACCCCGCTTTCGTGGAGATCACTGCATTCACATCTTCCGCTTGGTTGATCATTACCTTGCAGAGGAGCATGTACTTCAGGCAAGCCACCGCCGTCGGATCGTTGAGCGCATCGAATGCCTCGAAAGCCTCAAAGAAGTAGGAATAAGCGGTCTTGTAATCCTTCTCTTCAGCATGGAGAATGCCTGATTGCATGTCTATCTGCCCCTGAAGGGCAGGCGGGACATAGATCGCATTCGCCGCCGTTCGCGCTGCTGTTAAGGCAGCCTTGGCCTTGGGAACGTTCCTCAGACTGTGGTGCAGCTTGCTCTCTAACAGATTGATATCCACGAGGAGAAGTTTGTCGTCTAGCCGCCGCACTTCCCTGATGAGATTTCCAAGCAGCGTCAATGCCGTCGTGAACTCGGCAGTTTCCATGTAGAGCGCCGCCAAGCGCGCTTCCACCCTCTGCCTCAAAAACGTCCTCTTCTCTTGCCGTGTCCACTCAACCATCTCTTTGCACAGGTCTAACTGCAGAGCGGTCGTATTCGGTACCTTGGCGACGAGATCGATGATCGTCCTCACTATCTTTGCCGTCTTTGCTTTGGGAATGAGAACAAAGAAGGGCCGCAGATCAGTCAGCAGCGTCCGGAGCTCCTGCGCCTTGCCTTGCTTCGCTAACAATGCCCCCAAATTACTAACGGCCGTCTCCTTCACCCTCAACGCCTCTGTTGACTTCGATGGATCTTTGATGATCGCATGGTACATCTGCGCAGCCTCCTCTTCGTTCACGTTCTCAGTTTCCATCGCTTTCTCTAGCCACATCTGATCGGCGGCAACAGTCACTTCGACGGCAGCCATGGCCGAACTCGCCATGGCGTCACAGCTCAAGCTCAGCTCACACTGCGCGTACACGCTCCAGTCGCTCGCCTGATGAATGGCCGCAGCGGAAAAGAAACACCTCCCTCACACAAAAGTTCGGTCCCGTCTTTCCTTTCCTTTCCTCTCTTCTTCTGCGATTAGGTTTTCTTCTGCCTCGTCCGCTCTTCCGAAACTCAGGTTCACCCCCTCCCTCCCTCCCTCCCTCCCTCCCTCCTCTCTCCCCCTCTCTTCTTCCTCCCGACCCTTGTCCTTCACCTTCTTCCTCTTTCGTCTCCTGCGCTTGCTTCCTCGACGACAGACTCTCCAGCTGTCTGTCCCTCGCCCGCTTCCCCCCGTCGCCGCTGCCTGGCAAGCGAACCTCAGTTGCGCACCTGCCTCCGCTGGTAGTACGTTGGGACTCTGCGCTCTGTCGCCCCCCCCCCCCTCCGTTCACCAAGCCGGGACCACCTTGCCAGCCGAGCCTGCTCCCTGCCCAAGCCCCGAGGCTGCCCTCAGCCGCGAGGGCGCGGTAGCGCGCAGAAAGTAAGAGATCGCCTTGCGGTAGTCCCTTCCCCTGTGGCTGACCAGGTCAAGGCAGTGCTGCGCAGCTGCTGTCGATCGGCGGAATCACAGACGCCAGATGCGCAGGAGCGTGGTCGCAGCTGGATAGGATCAAAGCAGAGCTGTGGGATGTCGTCGACTCACCGCCAGCCGCGACGATCGGACGGCATGGCGCGGCCATCGTGGAAAAATCCCGGACCGGGCGTCCCACTCGCCCGGGAGTGGATCACCCCGTAAACCACCAGACTCCATCCACAGGCGGCCCGGTACCCGGGCGTCCCACTCGCCTGGGAGTGGATCACCCCGTAAACCACCATGACTCCATCCACAGGTGGCACTGTACCGGGCTGGAGTCTCCAACGCCCAGGTGCGGTGGAGGCTAGGTGGGAAAGGGCCAACGATTGACTTACCGTGGCACGGGTGCGCAGCCCGTAGTTCGTTTGTTTATGCGGTTCGGGAAGGGTAAGGTAGTGATTATGCTGTATGTATGTTTTGTCATGTTCGCTATACACAACTCGAAGAGTGTGTG